ACTAAATAATTTTAATTTTTTAAATTTTTTTGAGTTGAGTTACATAATAACTTTGAAACTCAAGTTGATCATTCTAAATTAGATTTATTATGCATGTGTTGCTTCAAAATCTATTGTAATCAACAGAAATGCATTAATTGACAAACAATTATTAGGCGATTGCTTGTGGATAGGTTCTAATGCCTTATTTTATGACTTCATTAGATGAATTCTTAAAGCGATAAATACACAGAACAATGAATCAATAAAAGAAAATTCTTTTATTAATTCAATAAAATGGGTTTATGTTACAGAATAATTGATTTGGCAGACTTTGATTACAATACTAACTACTTCCTAAAAATTAATTCTAACATTACTTCTAAATGCCTTGATTGTAGGTCTTGTTGGGGGGGGGGGGGGGAGTGGTGTTTGAGTTGTTTCTCTAACTCCTCCTTTTCTTCTCATTATAGTTATTTCTTTTGATAGTTTCTTCTTTTTCGACGGTTAATTGGTTTTGTAACTCTGAAACAATTATTTCCTCTTCAAATCAGAGCTGTGGCTGGTCACTTCCAACCTTTCTTCAAATTTTGACACGTGACAATATTTTAATGATTTAAGGCTTGTCAATAACACATGCATCGAATGTTTCATAATTTTGTATTTTATATCCAAACAATGTCCCTCATTTAATTGAATTTTAATCTTAATTAAACCTTCCTTAAACATATGTTTAAAATTTTTTGTATTTTGTGTCAAATCAATCAATTAAGAATCACAAAATAGACGGGTGACTAAAAAAAATAAGATGGTAGATCACATTACAATATTTTTATTTATTTGAAAAAGCAATGTAGTTTAATAAATCGTGCTGTAGAGTTGAGAAACAAAACGAGATTAGAAATATAAGAGAACCTTTTCTCAAAGGGTGAAAACAACTTTGGCGTTTTTAAGATGAAAATAATAGATGGGCCGCTAAAGAATGGATATGAGGTTCAAATCTTGTCACCTATCATTTCTTAACAACAATTAGAAAAAAATTAATACCTACCAAGATACTCAAGACTCTCTAGATAAATTATGTGAATATGGATTTAATGCAGCTTCAATAAGATGAAGTTTCACATAGACTCAAAATAGGATGTATTGAGGTGAATAAAGTTTCATATAGACAAATTTGACAGTCATTAGATTTAATTAGATGGATTTCGATGAGATCTAGACCGTATATCTAAACTCCAATCAAATTTTAGTTGTTCTTCTGTTTTTCTAAATTGGGAGGGGTGATTTTAATTTGAGAAGTTTGAAATTGCCTCTATCTTTTTAGAATAGATTTTAGCACAATTCCCATATGGAGATTTACAATCATTGTCTTGGACCATTTGTATACCTTTTTTTGTGTGTGTTTCTGCTCATAATACAAGTTGACGTAGCGGATAATGGGGGACATAGAGAGATCATCATCTCCAAGTATAAAGAACAAAAAAACTCTAAATCTACAGAACACTCTCAAAATTTTGCAATATTCAATTCATTATCTACATAGAATCGTAGCACACATGACAATTTATAGAAAAACCCAAAATCTTAACACTTAAAAAAGCTGTCACCACTTCATTGATTAGAAATTAGGTCAAGTCAGTCAATACTCTTATACCAGTTGATGTGGTGGATAACAAGGGCCACAAAGAGATCATCGTCTCCAAGTGTAAAGAACAAAAACACTCTAAATCTACAAAGAAAAGGAAGAGCATATGTAGAATCATAGTACATATGACAATTTTTAGGAAAACCTAAAATTCTAAGATTTTCAAAACGGAAACAAATCCTTACTTTAAAAAAGTTACCTAAAATAATAAACCACATGTCTAATAAATTAGGAAAATAGACATGGTTTAGACAGTAAATAACTCTAGAATATTCCTAATTAACTCTCATTCTAAATAAAAAATAAAAATAAAACAATTAAAATAAAATAGAATAAAACATGAAGCGGTTCTACATCACAAGTTGTATATATGTTTTTCCAAACAATTTGTCAGGGAAAAGGGCAATGAGGTTCAAATGTGTGAACAACCATTTAAAGTTAGGGTTTTCCAAAGTACAATGTAGAATTCTATGTTGACATTTACAAAAGTGGCATGCACAAATAATATTCTTATAATTAATCAAACTTTTGACCAAGGAATTTCACTACAAATATCATATTCTTGGTTTGGAAAAATTTGTTAGTCTTACATGTTTGAGCTTGTCCATTATTTCATTCACACTTCGCAAAAAATAAAAAGAAAAACAATTAGAAGATCTACAACCCTCCAATGATATTTTGAGGACTACGAATATCCCATCCATGTTTTATTTTTGGGTTCGAATCCTCTAATCCCCTTCTCTTAGGGTATGAATTTTGTATACAAAAATTTTAAACAATTTCCTCATATCCCCATAAAATCAAAATATGAACCAAAGGGATGTGGGATTAGGATAAGTAGGGGCGAATCTAAGAATTTAATTTAGAGTGGATCCCAACTTAAATCAATTACAAAAAATTTGAGGCCAACTACTTACCAAATGAAAAAAAAAATCCACATTCAAATTGCAAATACGGAACAAAAAAGTCACAAATATACATTTAAAGTCAATCGTCGACAAGTAATTGAACTAGAAAGTTGGGCATCAAGCTCCGAGGATGACAAGTTGTTTGGTAGGAAGGAAATATGGGTGAATGAAAAATAAAGGGTAAAAAATAGGGAAGGAAAAATACAATTTCCTTAGTTTGGTTTGGAGGGAAATAAGAGTGGAAGGGAAAAGTGGACGAAAACTAAATTCATCTCGCTCATTAAATCTAATCCCTCCGAAAATGGGGAACAAAGCTGCACATGATGGGTGGAGTTCAAGAATTTACATTTATACCCTTCAAATTTATTAGTTAGATATGTTTTTCAAATATGTGAATCCATAGATGGGGCACACATGTTAAATAATAAATGTTGATAGATATACATTAATTACAACACAACTCACAACTCATGTTATAAAATACTCTAATACAAGGGTATTTATGGTATTTAAAAGGTAAAAAAAATTTATTTTTATTTTTTCAGCTCAAACCAAATAGGAAAATAAAAAAATAATCGATTCTACTTTTCCATCTTCCTACCAAACATAAAAAAAATAGGAAATACTTTCCTTTCCTTTATGAAAGAAAAAGTTATCCTTCCTATTTTTCCGTCCCTTCTCTTTTTCCATAGCGGACCTTGAGTTTGAAAACTCAATTATCTATAAAGAAAGCAAGAGCCCATCTCTAATAGTCCGTAACCACCATACTAGTCGAAGAGCCCACTTGCACATGGAGGCCCAAGAAGGAAAATTTTCCGCAGATTTTCTCTCTCATTCATGCCAGTGGAGTTTCACCAGCAGTGAGCTTCGTAATCTTCTTCTTCTTTTTTCTTTTCTGATGGGTTTTCGTTTCCATAGCTGGTTGCATTCCGCGTTTCCATGGAAGCTAGGGTTTTTCTGTCAATGATAACAGAATTACATATTGAAAATTTGCTTCTTTTGCGTTTTATTTTTTCAAATTCCGTTCTTTCTATTGTTGTTGATGGCATAAAACTATTTAGTTTTTGTTTTTCAAATTTATGATTGAATATTGAACTGGTAGATTCAGGTTGAAACCTTTCAGTTTGTGGGTCAATCACTCTATTCGCAGTATTGTTCAAATTTCCCAAGAAGGCACAAATCTTCTAATTTCATTTGTATTTGTGTCGGGCCGTATCATATTTTAACACCCCTGCACTTGATTATGTTGTTTGGTGAAGTGAGTGGAGGAACATTATTGCTAGAATTCACTTTTGCTGTTGAACATTGAGCTTATTTTTATTACTTCAGTCTTACTTGTGATGCGTATTACTATATTTTTGTACCTGTGGTGTTTGTGATGGATTATTCATCCATTATGGATTGGGGTATTTTTACAGATCCTTATCTATGCAGAACCTTTTTCATTGAAGAACTGTAGTTTGGTAAATGAGTTTGAAAAAAAAAAAATCTGATTCTGCTTGATGTGTAAATTATGGAAACACTTCAGAATTGTTATGAATTGGATAAACCAGAGCTGTATATATTTATCATCCTTGTTTTCCTTATAGTAGAAGAAATAAGGTAAAGACCAATTGGCTATCTTTGTTTACTAGTCTGTTTGATTCAAAGTTCAAACATAAATTGGTTAGCATTTAGGGTTCTTCTGAGGGATAGCAATTAAATAGAACAGAAAGGATGGGGATGTGGCCACATATGCATGGTATAGGAATGGCAATGCCCTGCCTTGTCTGAACCACGGCTGAGTTATATTGACTTCATGATCTAGTGTCTTTGTTTGGCTGGTTCAGGATAAAAAAGTAATTTATATGAATAGCTTTCACAATGGATGTTTATTTATTGATTAACCCAAAAATAAAAAAAGAACCTTTGCTTTCATGTAAATATTTCTTTAAGCATGAAGTATTTACACAATTAGAGAAACCCTTGATGTTCTGTTTCTCTTGGTGCTACCATACGCCTTGCAAGGTAGGGGTGCCAATGGAGTCTTGACGTGGTCATTATCGGGTGGTGTCACTTTGGGTTAGTCCTAGTAAAAAGTAAGAACCCTTTAACTATTGCAAAATTTATACAACATTGGATCAAAAAATGAAAAATAAATAAATACCCCATGTACAGGTAACTGCTGTGGGCATGTAGCAATGTGGTTGTAATGGAGAGAGATATGTACCAGCTCCAATGTGTATTTCCTGACCTGGAGTTTTCTTGTGTCAGTTCTTTCAAAAGCTCAACCAGCAGTACTGAGGTGGTGTTTGTTGCAGATACCCTATGGACCAGAAAGGTTATATCTCTTGAGGTAGCTGGAGGAGGTTGAGGAAATTGGAAACCAGTAGGGTGAACTCCAACCAAAATGCTGAGGAATAGTCTGTGTAAAAGCATTGCTGAAAACTCCAGCCCTTTGTTTCGGAGAAGAGTTTTTATTGCTAGGTACCCTCAATTTTTGTTCTGAATCCATTTGACAGTAGTTGGGCATAAAGAAGTTCATTCCATGTGTCTGGGACTCCAGGTAGGCACCAATGGCTGCAGTCTTGTGGGGCTGGGATTGGAGTGCCCACCTCTCGGTGGCTTGAAGGGTGACCATCTTTCCTAAATTCTGCAAGATATGTAATGTTTAAGAACTGAATCTTTCTTTTTGCACTTTCCATCTGTTTGATTACATCAGAAATAAACAGATTGTTGACTGGATCAGGTTCCAGTTTTGTGTTGTTCGTTTCTGGCGCCACATTAGTGTCACAGTGACCACCTTCATTCCATGTTCCGTCCCTGCCATTCCAGATGGAATAGGATGAGTTAGTACACTGCATCCACAAAGATTATCACATGACATAATTTCGAATATGATGCAACACTACTCGATTGATACCCCTACATCAATCTTGACAGCCCTTCTCAGGATCACATGCCTTTAATGCATTTCAAATAAGATAATAAACCTATTATAGCTGTTTAAATTCTGATCTTTCGAAAAACTTCATTATAATCTTCTGCAATTCTCAGAGCACCACTAATGTTTTTTTCTCTGCTCGCCATGGAGAGTTCTAGGGAAAGAGAAGCTACTACGGCAGCCATTAATTCAACTTTTTTTTTTTTTTGGTAGACATAACCTGCCTGTAATGCACCGGTGAGTAGCTGCGGAAGAAGATATGACTTCTCTGTGGATCTAAACTCTGAATTACCCATGACTTCCAAGTCTGTAATGACCTCTGAAATGCTTCCATCACATCCATTGTCATGTTCACAGTTTCTCCCACCTGGAAAAAGCACCCCCTGAAAGACAACATAACGGTGAAGATTTGGATCAAATTTCATGACTTTCGTTCCAATGAGGGCGAATTATGACCAAAAGATGTCAGGTTATGGTTTAATGAGGTCCAACAATTTGAGATCGATCTTCAGAAATTGGGTTTGATTTCAAGTTTTTTTTGGATCGATTCTAATTCGACCCCCATTGAGTTGTAATTTGACCTCATTGCATATAGGATATAAAAATATGTACAGAGGAGGTAAGCTCATACATCTTTACAGTCTTATCCTGGTTCCACCAATGTCCAGCACTGAACATGAGCACATCTGCTTTAACCCATTTGTTTGAATACCAGTGCAGTGTGTCAACCCTGAGGGTGGTCCGAACTTCCTTGGATGCTTTTGGTGGCGGCCGACCGGTAACCACCAGGAAAGGCACCCTGTAGTATTCAACTGTGAGGTTGTACTCTGCGAATCGGATAGAGAGATAGCCTTTGTGTTTACTTATGGGGTTCCCATTGTCTTCATATATAGTGGACTGGGTTGAAACTCCTTGTGCAAGCATGCATATTAGAGACTCCCATTGGTTTCGCCCGATGGAGTCGCCGGCGAAAACTATCCTGCCGTTCCGGCTCCGTTCTAGAAAATCAGTTGCATTGAATCTGGGGACAACCAAAAATAGAGGGCAACAAACAATGAGGAGAAAGAGTTGGGTCGTATTATTTGAATACCTACCAGTTCCAAATCCAAACTTTGAGGATATAAACTTTCTACCATGAGATTTTTACCCTCTATTTTCTTGGAAGCAAAACAAGTGGAGCACATGGACTTGAAAAAATGTTCAAATCTTGGCCTTTTTTTTAAAAAAGTCTTATAAGTTGAAATTTCAAAATAAGTTGAGCTCAAAACGAACCAAGCTCGAGTTAAACTAAACACGAGTCGAATTTTGCGAGTTTAAGTTTAAAATGAGTCGAGCTTATTGAGCTCATGTTCTAAACGAGCCCAAAAACTATTCAAGCTCAATTTATGTTTTAAACAAACGAAAACGAGTGGAGTTTAAAACGAACCAAATCCTAATAAAGCCAAAGTAGCTCAAATCATTTACCACCCTTAATTACATGGGGAAAGATGCAATGTAACATTTAAAGCTGGTTTTGGTGGAAATAAAATATGAGAATTATAAGTGAGTAAAGAAAGGGAAAAAAAAAAAGTAACAAAGAGGGAATTTAGATCCCCTCTATTATCTCTTTTCTTCAATTTTCTTTAATGCAGTGCTAGATGAATGACATGTGTAAGATTTTAAATTTTAATGAACAAAATTTTTTCTCATTCATTTTATTATTGGCGGAGTGTTAACTATTATTAAAGAATTTTTCCATAAGGAAAAAGTCTTGTCCATTGAAATTCAGAATTTTACACATGTCACTTATCTAACACTACATTGAGGAGAATTGAGGGGAAGAGATAATGGAGGGGATCCGAATCCACAAAGAGGAAGTATATGCCTCTTACGTTTATCTGACTCTTCTCCAATTGTAAAATAATTAAAGAATTCATTAATTCTTTTTGCATGGTGAGAATTTATCCACGTCAACTAATAAAAGATGCGTTTTATTACCTTGAAACCTGCCAATTTTGATTAATCTTCTTATTTTTTTGTGAAATTACATGACGATTAGATTTTTTTTTTTTTTGAAAAATTCATGACAATTAGATTGAAGAATTAAAATCCCTAAGAAAAAGTACTACTAATGTCCTTAAAACCAGTTTTCTAAAAGATACAATATTTTTAGTCCTGAAAATTTTTAATTCAACAAAGTCTCCTTTGCCAAAATTTTGCCGGACAACTACTGTATTTAAGGATAGTAAGTGATGTGAACAAACCATTCAAATAAGAAATCAAATCGACACAATTACAATTGTATCGGATGATCATGTTTTCTAAACACAACCATTTTGTCCTTGAAAATAGTTGTGTCTTTGTAGCTAGTATTGCCATTTTGAATCTAAAAACTCTTTATTTGGATATATCTATATAATAAAATAGTTATAAAAGTTTGTGCAAAGTTTTTCGTGGTTTAGATCGCTTGACAATTATTGATCCGACAGTACTCATATGAAATTTTTCTAAGACTTCTATCTATCATCTAACTCTCTATCTCATACTTACATACGACTCTTTCTCACTCTCTAATTGAACTTTCATTTTTTTACAACTCTAAGACTCTCATCTCTCATATAACTCTCTCTCTTAACTCTCATACGTTTTAAACACACACTTTCTCATCTTTTATACAACTCTCTCTTAGAGAGCTGTATATATCTAATAATAACAAAATATATCTAATACCCATTAAAACTCTAATAGCAAAGATTATCTCAAATAAATTATAGGTTCATTAACACATATATATATATATATATATATATATATATATATATGATCATAATTGGATTTTCATTCATTTTACATCTCTCTCTCTCCTATCTCTCACACATTTTAAATACACACTCTTCTATCTCATAAAACTCCATCTCTCTATCTATCTCATATTCATACTCTCTCGCTATCTATCTCATACTCAATCTCTCTTTATCTGTACCAAAAAAAAGAAGATATTTTTTAGGTATAATGATTAAATATATAAATTGTGTATATGTTTATATTTTTTAAAGGTCATGTTTTTAGAGGAAGTTTTGTTAAAATTTTTTAAAGAATAGTGTTTTCAAATTGATTTTGAAATGTGTAACTAAAGAGAATAATAAAAAATAAACTATTGTTTGAAAATATTTATATTGCATGACCAGTCCTCCAGGTTTTTTTAGTTACTTAGTGCCTTCAGGTACGGGATTGTTACTAGTTAATCTATAAATTGCATTATGTAAATTTTGGGTATTTGTTTCTTAAAAACGATAAAAAGAATAAAGATACTATTATCTTGACTGAAAAATGAAACAAAAAAGGAACCAAATTATGTAACATTTAAAAGTCGAATTTTTAGTTCCACTCTTACCATTTAGGCTTTGTTTGGATGACAATAATCTTAATTAGGAATGGTAATCTCATTCCTAAATCAACAAATTACTATGCTTGGGTGGTTAATGAGTCAATAATTTATATCGGGAATAAGATCATTATTGGAATCAAATTCTCGATGATAGTGAAAATCTTAAACCCACCATCAATGATGGTAATCTCATACCCAACTTAATTGAGTATTCTAAAAAAGGAAAAAACATTCAAATTCAAAGCTAAGCTATTTTCCTAAAATCATTTTCCTTCCTAAAATAAATTTTATTACTAAAAACAATAATGAAATAGATATACATTCTTATAATAGATTACTAACGACACCAAACACTAAATAAAAGATTACTATGATTTTTGAAACCTTGGTATCACTTTACTAAAAATGAGATACTTATTTCGATTAGGATTACTAGCGTCCAAGAGGGCCTTAAAATTCAAACTTTACTATCACTTTAGCACAACATTGTTTGATCCCTATTTTCAACGCTAGTTTTTAATAAATTTATCGCCATAAATAATTGCATCTCTCGTGGTCCCTTACAACATCATATGAATAAGTCAAACTCGATAGAACTTGTATTAGAATTTGACTCAAACTTTCTAATTATAATAAAGAGAAGTTTATTAAGTAATCAATACTAAAATTCTGAATTGAATAGGGAAGAAGTTGAAAAAATATAATATTCCTTGAGTAGGTTTATTATTGATCAATATACTAGACATGTGAGAGGAAACATAGAAATCAAGTTCCATCTGAATAGACATAGATTAGAGTATTTTATACCTCTATAAATAGAGTTGAGTATGATGTCATGAATTATCAAATGACCACTTTCCAGTGAATAATATATATATATAGGTTTTTTTTTTTTTATATTTTTTATCACATGTTTAATATACTTGTTTATATTAAATTTAAAATTCTTTTAATTTGTTTCCTAGTTGATTTGATCACTAATAAATCTATTCAAGAAATATTTTCAATTTTCCAACTTCTTTCTTATTCAATTCAGGAATTTCACATTGATTACCGTACAAACTCTCTTTTACCATAATTATTAAGTTTTGCTCAAATTCTAACAACTTGTATTATCACCCCCATCAAACTAAATAAAATTATTTTTGAACTAGTCTTGGGCAATGGGTTTTCATTAAACTAAACCATGGTCAAGTTCATAGTCATTGATGGGTGCTTTCCTAAAAACTAATAAAGAAATTAAAAATTGATGCATGCAAGTAATGGAGTGGAGGTATAATATACAGCAAACCAGCCTAGAGTACTGAATTATTCTAACTCATACCTTGGAAGATCACAACCTTCTGGTTGCCATCGCCATTTGAGATAATCTCCGTCTTGCCGACCGCTTTCACGGCACCGGAAACCGGGATCGAGAAACGGACAGTTCTCGGTGTACTTTTGAAGTGGGTAAGTTTCATCCCAAACCCATCTGCCATTTGAGTAGTCACAAGTCTTTAATGGTGGATTTTGATTGTTGGGTAGGATTTTGGAGAAGAAATTAATACCAATTAGAGACTGTGGTTGATATAGGGTTATGATCTTACAGAAAATAATGGAGGTGATGAGAAGAGACAGAAAGGATAGGGTATAACTAAGTTGTCTCTTGGTGAAGAATGGAGAAGAGAGAAGGTGGAGCTTTTGTGTTATGGGTGGTGGAAGAAGATCCATGAGAAGAGGGAGGAGATGGGTTTTTAGTTTGAAGTGTTCTTAAGCGTTTGCAGGGGAGAGAGAGAGAGAGAGATGCCGTGCACGTTGCGAGGAGAGTGTGTCAATTCCTAATAGAAGTGGGTATAGTATAACAATAATGAGCATGTCCAAATCTTACTCCTACTCTGAAAAAAGTCAATGTTCCACCACACTTACCACCAAAAATTAACGGCTATAAAAACGCCTACCTTTTTTAATTACAATTAACATCCACAAGCACAACACCCCTCCCTCTCCCCTTTTCTCTCTCTCCCCCTCCCCCTCTCCCTCTCTCTCTCACTCACTCACTCACACACACACACACACACAAACACTCGCCCTCACAAACACACAGACAGTCTCTCTCACACACCATTGTTCAATAAATTATTCACAGAGAAGAGAGATTTTTTTTATTTTACAAATTGATAATTTTATATCTAACTGTATAAAGATGAGCGTGAATTTATAAATAAGAGGTGTTGTGCGAATATCTATAAAACCTAAATTATCAATGGACTCTTGAACGAAGGTAAAAAATCACGCACACACGCAGAAACAGAGAATTTGTCTCTTGCCAACTTCCATTGGTTTCATCTAAAGATAAAAATATTCTGTTAGCTTTCGAATATGTCCTTTAGCCTACTTTCAGCGTACGTTAGAAATCCTTTTCTGGGGCCTACAGTTGCAACCCCACCTGACACCAACAAGAGTAAACAATATCGGCGTGACGGTTATACTTTTTTATTATATTAATATGATATAATTATTTAATGATAAGATAACAAGTGAATAATTGAATTTCACGTAAAATAAATAGTTTTTTAATTACATGGAATCTACTTGTTTACTTGTTGTTTCATTGGATGGTTACATCCTGTCAATTTGATGACATGGTACAATCGTTACATCCAATATTTTTTTCAAGAGGAGATAAAAATCGCAATAATATTATACTGATCAAGATTTTTTACTAGATTTTTCGTCCCGAGTGATGTAATACAGTTTTCATCATCAAATAAATGAGTTTCATTAATATTTGATGAGAAAAATTATGCCACATATAAGAGATTAGAGGTGTTCACGAGTAGGAATTATGCTATTTTATTTTTCTACTTGATATTTTTGTGAAATAATTGTTTCTTGATTTATCCTACCTGATCAAGTGTATTATTCCTACTCAAATTCCGTCTCAAACCATTAAATAGAAAATGGGATGAACACATATTTTTTTAGTTATTAATTTTTGAATTATTTTAACAATTTAATTAAGTAACATGCACCAATTAACTGACATAATAAACTAATAACACTAAAAAAAACACAATAAATTTAATAATACATAAATAATTACAATAAAACACAACAAGAAAGTTATAAACTTCAATACATTATATATATATATATATATATATATATTGACAGACTCACTAAAACCAGCAAACACTCTTTCCTCTCCCCCACTCTCATATTGTATCTTAGCCTTCATAATGATGCAAATGAAGAACTTCTTCTTCGGTAACATTTCTTAGTAACTTATTTATAAGTTAATTTCAGTAACTTGTAATTTCTTTATTTTGTGAATATAAAGATTTATTTCAATATTTGCATTCCACATTTATATCTACAGCTTGAGAGTCATGTTTTTCGCACTTTTGCATATATATATAGACACGCAGGTATGGTAGGGTAGGAATACAAAAAATTTGTAAGTATTCCACATTCTTACCTAATTTTTTGTGAAATACCTAAAAATCTTTCGTTGGTCTACCCAATTTTTCTGGGTAACCGATTAATAGAGTCGGGTATGGTCGAGATTTGTAGGTAATCAAAAATTTGAACACACCCAGAAGAGATAAAAATTTTAATAAGAATTTAGTAAATATAACATTACTATAAAATCGTCAATTCACTATGGTGTGTCATCCCACGGAAATTTTTATGTTCATGTGATATTTTGGAGGTTTAGTTATTGTATATACAATACATTGTAAAATTCAAATGCATTTGTTATCTATAGAAATCGGTTAAATCCAGAGTTATGCACGTATAGTAATCGGTTTTATATCTCGTTTCTTATTCAATTACTATAGATAGGTGCAGATTCCCTTGAATGTGATTTTCTCTCCTTAGTATGCACTTAGATCTAACGAAAAAGGGTAACAACTGCATTGAGCAACTTAACAATATTAATTAGCAATCGATTTCAAATATTAATGAGTTTCTTTTTTAAGTTTCATATGATCGATGACTCTTTATTTGTGGTTGTTGTGATAGATAAGGCTGATAATCAAAACAAACTCGAACGAGTTCAAGCAAAATTTGAACTAGTTGAATCTGAGCTCAGGTCGAATATTTATATATAAATGAATCGAGTCTGTCGGACTCGTTTTTTAAACTAATCTAAAAAATTGTTTAAGTTCGACTCGTTTAAATAACGAGTTAATCTTGAATGAGCCAAAAACAAGTCAAACCCAAGCCGAGTTCGAGTAATTCGATTTGATTACAGCTGTAATGACAAATCATAAAAAAAAATAGAGGTTAATCGGGGCCAATTACAAATAGTATCATTTTCGAAATAAGAACACATAAATGAAATAAAAGGTAATCACAATGCAAATTTTCCATTGGAAGAAAATCATAACAGTTGGAAATTTCCTGGTGGACTAGGGACCCCCTGGTTCCTTCTTGGCTCAGTCAGTGTCACTGGGTTTATTGCTGATGATGAATTTCCAAATTTCCAACTAATTCTGTCATTAAACCTCGATATGATATATTGTGGAAAGTCCTTGTTGCGTAAACATGGACACCTTTCAAACGTAAGCTAGGAATAAAAGTAATTTGTCATTCTTTTATTTTAACAATTTTAAAAATAAAAGTAATTGTTTATGGTGTATGAGCATGACACAAATTGGAACAATTGTTTTGAGGCATTACCCCCTCTTTTTTAGCATAAAGGAAATAAGTAATACAAACTAAGAAGTTAGGGGTCACAAGCAAAAAAAAAAGAAGAAAGTAGGGATCTATTTGACTATGTTCTTAAAAAAACAATATAAAAAAATATGTTTTTGAGAAGAGTTTAAAAAAATTGTGTTTTGAATTTTTTTTGTATCTCAGAACTAGTTTGATTATATGATTTGGAAAAAAGTTTTAAAAAATAAAAATAATAAAATATGTTTGACAGTGATAAAAAAAAATCATAAAAATATAATATATAATTTGAATTGATTATTTAGTAAAAATCTTTTGAAAATAAGCGTTGTCTTACCAAGGTTTTTTATTCAGCTAGAATTATACAATATGTGGACGAACAAGATTTACTCACAAAATTCTTAATATTGTATTATCTGATGCTAGAAATTAACCCACGAAATTTATAAAATGAAAAAAAAAAAAAAAAACGGTTTTTAACAAGTGTTAAATGTGCATGGACAAATCTCAGCCAAAAATAAAAATTAAATATTCAGCAAATATGTCATCCTTCTTCTCAATGAAAAAGTTGACAAAACAAAGTCAACAACATTGTATTATCCCAAATTTCTGATTTGCATATGACTAGATCTAAGGAGAAAGCCAGCATCAAGAAAATATGCAAAATTAATAGTGCAAGAAAACTTAAAGCACGTGTAATGAGGATTCTTTAGGAGCTTGTTATCGAATTTCTTCTCGTTAGCTTGTGCCACTTGAAAGACGAGAGCTTTGGGCGAGATTGATGGTTTTGAAGGGATGGATCTGGTTTGGTTTGTTTGGAAGCAGAGTAAAAGATACAGATGAGAGAGAAATTTTTTTCCCTTTAAATGATGTATTAAGTGTATAACAGATTACATTCCGTGTTTTTAATTTTTCTTTAAAATTGGCAAAAATGTGTTATTAGTATTCTTTAAAATTTTGACCTTCTTGCTGTCCAAATAACTTCTCTTCTATTTTTTATATTCAATATATATATATATATATATATATATACAAATTAAACACACCTTAACTTTCTAATAGTGTTGTGGTAAATCCCTATTTTAGAATTTTCTTGGGGCCTATTTGTGCCTTATTGTGGAGCCCAATACCCACAATGAGATCACAAATAGAGAGAGAGAGAGCTATATGTTAATCTTAGGTTAATTATAAGACAATAAATTTTACATATAACCAGTATCAGAATTAAAAATCGATCTTGTCATGACGAGTTTGCATCATCGCCAAGTATTATCGTGTTGATCTATTAATAATCTTGTATAATCAGGTTAAGCAAGAATTGACGGGTCTAAGTGAAAAAAGTCAACTAAGACCTAAATCCCTTACCAATAAATACAAATTTGATTACTTCGTCTTGATTGGGGTTAGACTATGGTACTAAAAAATAAATTTTGGTATTGTATTATTTACAATTTTTTGGTATTTATACAATTTTTTAGATAAAAGTTATCAATTTTTAGGGTGCTTTCATCTTTTGAATCCACTTACTAGTTTTTTCGATTCATTTTCCAACTTTCTAGGTGGAGTTTATTATTTTTTAAGCTCGAAAAGTAAAGAAGTGGTGCCATAGTGTTTCTCACTTTGATTGTAAATAGGATTGACCGATTGAGTATTGTTAAGAATTTGTCGGTGGTCGTCCTTCCCTCCATGTAGTTTATTTAAGGGTTAAATATGAGTGATGTACAAGCATCGAGTGCTTCCTTAAATTCAGTAATCGTGACTTGAGTTAGATTATAATATATTTTTTAGAAATAAAACAGTTGACCTTTAAGTGGCGTGAAAACATATTAAATTTGAAATTTCAAAATTATTAAAGATTAGACTCAATCATTGACATACACTAAGAGTTTATTTGTTTTGTGGGTTTTTTTTTTTTGGGGGGGATTGATTTCCAAGGGTCTAAGAAAAATGGTCTAAAGGACTCTCAAATCTTATAAAATTTTCATTCCTGAGTTATCAAACTTAGTCCACTGGTTCGGATACTAAACTTATGATTATGAGTTTTGTCAAATTTGAGGGGGTTTTGGGAAGACGAATTAGAAGATTAAGGATACAAAAAATAATTGTACCCCTTAACATGTGTATAAATTGGATTGATCAAGAGACAAAATAATTATTTATAGAACAAATAATTGTTAATAATTATGATATATTTATGGGTCCTATATATGTATGTGTTACATACAAACATAGATATTAATTAAATTTAATATTGAATCTCATTTTTGTAAAAAAAAGTTTGAGTTTGAAAGAATTTGGAGAAGTTAATCCAAATCTTCTCCAAAAATCTATCAAACAAACCTTAAAGGGTGTTTGGCAAATCAACGATGAATTGGACTGAGTTGGATTTAAATTTCAAATCAATCCAATGAAATCCCAATAATCCAGATTTATAGTGGGATAAAAACAAATTGGTTAATCCAATCCTTGAGTTGGTTAGTGATTTATGATGTGGTGGGGCCATGAACAAGTTATAAATTTTTTTAAATATCTCATAACTTTAACGTTAATTGACAATTTTACCCTTAAATCCTATCAAATCTTGTGTCATTTTTGGCTCGCAAATTGTTGATTACCACTTTCATATTTAAGTGAAAAGATAGAAATACTTATGTATTGTAAAATTCCAACTTTTACACAGTTCACTTAAAAAACATTTTAAGAAGGCAATCACAAAATTATTTGATCCACCAAAAATATAAAAAAGTTAAAAAAAATCAAGAATATTTGATCCACCAATTTTTCACATTTGCTTATCTTGATGAACCCATCTCCTCCTTCTAATTCCTTTTCGTATGATGGCTTGCTCTCATTTGCTTTTCCAATTGATTGTTCCTTACTCTGTTTGTTCTTCAGATGTTTTTTTCTTTCTCTCCATCTTTCTCTCTCTCTATGGCTTCATTAGTTGATGATTCTTTGGCTTTAGCTTCTTCCTCAGTCTTCAGCCTTGCTTCCTCTTTGGCTTCTCAAGAGCTCCGATCAGACTCTCCATGCAAGTCTCTGCCTCCCCAGGAACAAGCTTTGGCATCAAAATTTTCGCAACATCTGCAGGGGACACATTAATTTCCTCTAAAATTTTCACAAAAAGATGGTCGGTCTCAAGATTAAGGTAATTCTTTGCTAGAACCTTGAATGCTTCAAAGCTAAAGTACGATAATTCAATGTGCTTGTCCATTCTTCCCCTCCGAATAAGCGCTTGATCGAGTTTGTCCACATAATTTGTTGTAAAGACGGTGAGTCTCTCTCCTCCACAAGCTGACTAAAACCCATCAATGAAATTCAGAATCCCAAAAAGAGTAACCCCTTTGCTTTTGGTTTCTGTTTCATCTTTTACTAGTTTTTGTGCTGAACAGTCAATGTCTTCAATCACAACAATAGATTTGCTCGGTGTCTCAAATCGATACACCGACATAGACCAACTTCTCTCAACCGATATATATAAATAAATGTAGATAAAAGAGAGAGAGAATACCTTTTTGATGGAAGGAGTTGGTGCCGTTCGAACCAGTGAAAATGGCTGAAGATAAGATAAAGAAACCCTATTTTTGCTTTACAGGAGTGTAATGGCTGCTGCTTAATCCCAAAATTTTGGTGGGATTTGTTTTTCCACTCCAGAGAGGATAAACGAGACGATCACTCCGGCTAAGTTTTTGAAAAGTTACGAATATCCGACCTTAAAATGTCTCGCCAAAACAAAGATAAATGGACCCCCACAGATTGTTTACCCAATCCAACATGGTTTATCCAGCCATCCAAACACCCCTAAGAGCTAGGAGTACAAGCCCTTGTGCCTAAGTGCAGAGACACATGTTCAGCTTGATTCTATTTGTGACTTGGCCCAGATCGACCCGATTGATTTGTAAAGCACGTTGGAGAGGCCAAGCTGAAACCCAACCCCTTTAGGATGGGCTTACAAATTGGACCAGAATTTTCCACGACCAATGGCCAGGAGCCCACGATTCCTAGACCTCGCTGCTTTGATTTCTACTTAGACCAACTCGAGCCCACCCCAGTCCTTGCGATTCGTCACTGTTTTGTTGATATGTTGCTTTCGTCAAAAGAGACTCTGAAGTCTCCCTCTCTCTTTCGACATTGGCTGTCATTAGTGGCTATGAATCTATTTCGCATTGATATAGAGAATATGTGAGAGTGTGTGTGCCCTTTTTATTGGCCTCCAGACGTTCGATATATTGCCCCAAAGGTATGTTTGCAGATACTTATTACAGAATATAGAAACGGGTGAAACAGGTGTGGTTTAATTAAAACTTACCTCATTATGATAACGAGCATCTCTCCCTCTCTCCAGTCTCTATCCGTTTGGGAAAATCTCATGTTTGTGGTTAGTAGGAAATAAGAATGATGGTTCTGTGTGGTGTAGCGTTATAGACAGCAATAGCTAAAGAATTCGAGCTCTTTTACTGGTAAGTCTACTGAAATGCTAAAGAATATGCATTTTCAATGTACCCAGTTCTTTTCTTGTTTATTCACATATACTTTTTGACAGATTATGGTGGAATGAAATAGAAGGTGGTTTGGAGGAAGGTGTATGATTACGTACACTATGATCTGAAAGAAATTGCATTCCCTTCGTCTTTGCCTGATCCACATCATATCAAGAAGTGTCACAAGGCGGTGGCTTAGCTTCTTTTGCAGCACTCGGAACGAATGGCAACGGCCTACACCCTGTACTCAAAGAAGGAGCTACGACATATGAATGGTTGTGAATCGCCAACTTACGCCTCACCCGGAGTCAGGGGCTCTATTCATGCTTGGTATGGCCCACGCAGCCTATTTTCCACACGATTGTGCTGTAGTTGACCGGAACTAAAAGGGAGATGGGAGCATTTGAATTCGATTTCTGATTATTAGTAGTATATGCTTTTTGTCAAGGTATCATATGGTATTGATTCTTTTTGTTTTGTGAATGTTCCAAGGTTTGAATTAGCTCTGTTGTTTAGTTGACCCGCAAATGATTTTTTTAGCAAATGAAACATTAAAAGGGGGAAATTTTAGGTTCTCTTTAGTTTGTTCACTAATTGCTGTAAGATCCTCATTTGTCATTTATCTTGTTTTGTGAATTATGTTTTGTATTAAATTAAGTTCACAAGGAACCAATTCTTCGACTCATGTATGACTTCAATTAACAAAGTATGCATTTAATGATAAGTGATTTTGTAATATATAATTATTCTTCAGGTGTTGAAAGAAGCATCTAGGCTTTATGCTGTGAGTTAGGTAAGAGATATTGAGACTGATCTTCGGCCAAACGATTATAAGAAGTACGAAAGTGAAGGCAAGCCCGATAGAGTAAATGGTGCAGCTGAAGAGCGAGAATCCTCCATTTTGGAGGATCTTGGTGAGAAATCTGTAAAATGCTGGCAGACAGCTTAATGATTGGATTATATTATGCCATATGAGTATCTTGTTTGCTTCATATGCTTCATAATGTATGAGCTGACCTTTAAATGTCTGAAGAATCTGTTGTTTGACTGAAGCACAATGTGAGTACTGTTGTGGATTGTAGTTTGAGGTGGTACAGAATAGATATTGCAAAACCCACAAGTCATTACTACAACCTAAGTCCCAGTGATATTGTTATCAAAGTAGCCATACCTTCTAATTGTAAGGAAAATTGTTTAAGCCTGATAGATCCCACAGGTACC